ATGGAGTGAATCTTGGCTGATTCAGCGTTCGATCCATCTATAGACAGGCTGGTTGTGCTGAAGTCGATCTGTCAACTTTAGTACAACCTGCCTGTCAAATTTTGTTGTTTGTGACTGCTGCTGGTGGCTATAGCCACCTGCAGGGACCATTGTGTCCTGCTGGCAGTGGAGGCTCCCTGCTGGCAGAACCTAATAGCTCTTCCGGAGGTCAATATTGACTGTGATGATGGGAGAATCAAGCAATTTTCTTTCCTTCCACCCATTGGGCAGATAAGGTTAATTGAATAATGTACATGTGCTCAGATTCTGTGTTAAAGACAAAACCACAAAAAAAAAATCATATAACAAGTGTCACTACTGCTCACCAAAGTATCAAAGCTCATGTTCTAACAAGGGACAACACCAAAAATACCCATGAATGGTGCTCTGACTATTTAAGGCAATGCAAAGGTATTCATTATAACAACATGCATTTGTAAGCAGCGTATGCTGCCAAAGTATTTGTAATTGTGTTCAGCCAGTATTGTACACTACACAACATCTACCAAAAAGTGTTTCGTATCAGTTTTGGATGGAAAATGCCATATAAACATGAAAATACATTAACTGTACTGTGTGGCAGTATAACTCCAGTAGAGGCAGTGAATGTGCTGTTATAGTGGCTCTACTGTGACTCCGTATGGAATTTTTTGTAACTGGTAGTCATGTTTGCAGACTTGTATGACATAGATGGTTATAGTGTTACACAATCATATGTCACTTAAAAATATCAAGTGTTTGTTCTGACTAACCTCCCAGAAAATGTAAATGGACTCCTCAGTGGAAAATAGTTGAATTATTGAGTAGTGGAACAGTTATGTCACAGAATGTAGCCATGTTGCTAAAAGGACTTTAACTGCCTTTCATTAGGATGAAAATTATGATACCTTTAAATGGCCAATTTACCCTTATAACAGTCCATATCATTTTGCTATGAATTTAAATTTTCTAACACTAACTATTCTTAAAAATGTCCCCTCCCTACTCCTGCCACCAATCCTGCCTACCCTGTGCAAAAACAGATCAAAATACTTACCTTTTTCAGCTTGCATTGGTCTAGTCATGTGATCCTGCAACTCCTGCTCCCCTGTGCCAGGGGACTTGGCTTTGGGACTTATGGGTCACATCATCGCTCCCAGAATTCCCAGCCATTGTCAAATGTGTTCTGGAGCTGGAGGATCACGTGACTGGACCTGAACAAACTGAAAAAAGGTAAGTAAACGGACAAAGGTTAATCAGGATAGGTAGGAGAAGGGGGGAGGAAACATTTTTAAGAATATTTAGTTTTAGGAAGAAATTCTAATTTAAATACCCTTCCTGAACCTGCACTTTTCTGTGCTCTTCTACAGTGTTGTAGTCCCACAGTTTTAGTTCCAATAGGTGATCTGCTTGCATGTAGTGCCTTTTTAGGCTTGTGCTGTTTGTTTCGTTTTGAATTCGAGATTCGGACAAAATTTTCATTATTCGGAAATTCAGACATATCAAAATTTCAGTATTACTATAGAAATGAATTTAAACTAATCCAAAACAACAAAATAAAATCTGAAATCGAAAATGAGATCAAGGGTCAAAACAAATTTTAAATATAAACATATTGTTGACTATTGCTAATTTCATTCAAAAACTATGTGTATCAGTGTTAGAATATAGCCATCTTCCAAAATACAGACAGAGTTTAAAAGGAAAAGTCTTCAAAGTACTGCTTAGAAAAATTAGATATGTTCCCTATAATATATATTAACGCCTACGTTTATGAGCTCAAGCCCACTTTGGGGGTAGCCTAGAAGGCATGGCATCCCAAAAATCTAGACAAGCTCTATCTACACTGCTCAAACAAATTAAAGGAACACTTTGAAAACACATTAGATCTCAATGGGGAATAATATCATGCTGGATATCTATACTGATATGGACTGGGTAATGTGTAAGAAACATAAGGATGCCCCATTGTTTGATGGAAATGAAAATGATCAACCTACAGAGGACTGCATTCAAAGATACCCCAAAAATCAAAGTGATAAAATGATGCAGCAGGCTAGTCCATTTTGCTGAAATTTCATTGCAACAACTCAAAATGGTACTCAGGAGTTTGTATGGCCCCACATGCTTGTATGCATGCCTGACAACATTGAGGCATGCTCCTAATGAGACGACAGATGGTGTCCTGGGGGATCTCCTACCAGATCTAAACCAGAGCATCACTGAGCTTCTGGATAATCTGAGGTGCAAGCTGGCAGCGTTGGATGGGCCAAAACATGATATCCCAGAGGTGTTCTATTGGATTTAAGTGAGGCAAGCATGGGGGCCATTCAATGGTATCAATTCCTTCATCCTCCAGGAACTGCCTGCATACTCTCGCCACATGAGGCCGGGCATTGTCATGCACCAAGAGGAACCCAGGACCCACTACACCAGCATAGGGTCTGACAATGGGTCCAAGGATTTCATCCACGATACCTAATGGCAGTCAGGTTGCTATTGTCTAGCCTGTAGAGGTCTGTGTGTCCCTCCATGGATATGCCTCCCCAGACCATCACTGACCCACCACCAAAACAGCTATCCTGAACGATGTTACAGGCAGCATAATGTTCTCCGCATCTTCTCCAGACCCTTTCACATCTGCTACATGTGCTCATGGTGAACCTGTTCTCATCTGTGAAAAGCACAGAGCGCCTGTGGCAGACCTGACAATTCTGGTGTTCAATGGCAAATTCCAATCAAGCTCCATGTTGTCGGGCAGTGAGCACAGGGTCCACTAAAGGATGTTGGGCCCTCAGGCCACCCTCAAGAAGTCTGTTTCTGATTGTTTGGTCAGAGGCATTCACACCAGTAGCCTGCTGAGGTTGTTTTGTAGGGCTCTGGCAGTGTTCATCCTGTTCTTCCTTGCACAAAGGAGCAGATACCGGTCCTGCTGATGGGTTAAGGACCTTCTATGGCCCTGTCCAGCTCTCCTAGAGTAGCTGCCTCTCTCCTGGAATCTCCTCCATGCTCTTGAGACTGTGTTGGGAGACACAGCAAACCTTCTGGCAATTGTATGTATTGGTGTGCCATCCTGGAGGAGTTGGACTGCCTGTACAACCTCTGTAGGGTCCAGGTATCATGCTACCAGTAGTGACACTGACCCTAGCCAAATGCAAAACTAAATAAAAACAGTCAGAAAAGATGAGTAGGGAAACAAATGGCAGTGGCCTCTACCTGTAAAACCATTCCTGTTTTGGGGGTCATCTCATTGTTACCCATTTAATACACCTGTTGTTAATTTCATTAGCACCAAAGCAGCTGAAACTGATTAACAATCCCCTCTGCTACTTAACTGACCAGATCAATATCCCAGGAGTTTAGCTGACTTGATGCTATACTCTGATTAAAATGTGTTCCTTTAATTTTTTGTGCAATGTATAACTTAAATATAACTGTGTTGGTGCTTTAAATTAAAACATGTCAATACAAATGTTTTCACACTGACATTGAAAGCAGGATTTTGGGGAGCATTTTTAATGCTTCTAAAACTCCTATGCAAATGATAATATGGACAGCACACAGTTCGATTATCAAAATAGATAAAGTATAAAATTATCAAAACATGAAGCAGTAGCATTGCGTCACGTCGCTTCAAAATTGAAGCTTCATGTGGAGTTTGAAGGAGTTGAATCCTTTCAACTCCTTCCATTCAAGTCTATAGCAACGTGCCACAAACATGCTGGATTGCGTTTGTGGGCGTTTGCAGCGCAGTTGCGGTGTGGTTGCATCGTGTTAATAACATTACAGTTTATTAAACGCATTTTTGATGCCAAAAACGCACATGGGTGAGGGTGTTTTGTAGTTTCTCAAGAAAACTCAGAAACAGAAGATAATGTTATTGAGACTTCAGTGCAGTATTGTCAGCATAATACAGGAAATTAGGAGCTCACTGGATTTATGCTAGGAAATGCAGCATTTAATATTACTGTATAACTAAAGTGTTAAAAAAGTAAACATTTGCAAACAGGAAGGTTTTTTTTTTATTGCAGAGGAGACATAATATGCATTTTTTCCTTTTCCTTTTTGTCAGAAACTGGAAATACTGGATGTGATAGCCTGTGATTTGATTTCACAGTGTTCATGCAATAAAACATGCCCCTGTACTGTCTTTCTTCTCTGAATGGAGAAAAATAAAAAAAATTTCATATCAATCTGATAGTTCTTGTTTAACCACTTGCCTACCAGGCACTTATACCCCCTTATTTACCAGGCCAATTTTCAGCTTTCAGCACTGCCGCACTTTGATTGACAATTGCGCGGTCATGCAACATTGTACCCATATGAAATTTTGATAATTTTTTTCTCACAAGTAGAGCTTTCTTTTGGTGGTATTTAATCGCCACTGGGCACTTTACTTTTTGCGCTATAAATAAAAAAACTGCAAAAAAATTGAAAAAAAAAAAAAAAAAGTTTCTTTGTTTCTATAAAAATTTTTCAAACAGGTATTTTTTCTCCTTCACTGATGTGCGTTGATGAGGCAGCACTGATGGGCACTGATAGGCGGCACTGATGGGCACTGATAGGCAGCACTAAAGGGCACTGATAGGCAGTACTAATGAGGTGGCACGGATAGGCGGCACTGATAGACAGCACTAATGAGGTGTCACGGATAGGCGGCACTAATATGCAGCACTGATAGGCAGCACTGATAGGTGACAATGATGATGGGTACTGATAGACGGCACTGACTGGCATCACTGCTGGGCACTGACTGGCGGCACTGACTGGCACAACCCCTGGGCACTGACTGGTGGCACTGACTGGCAGCACTGCTGGGCTGCACTGGTGGGTGGCACTGGTGGGCGGCACTGGTGGGCAGCACTGGTGGGTGGGCACAGGTGGGTGGCACTGGTGGGCACAGGTGGGGGCACAGGTGGGTGGCACTGCTGGGCACAGGTGGGTGGCACTTCTGGGCACAGGTGTGTGACACTGCTGAGTGGCACAGGTGGGTGCACTGCTGGGCACAGGTGGGTGCACTGCTGGGCACAGGTGGGTGCACTGCTGGGCACAGGTGGGCGGAGATAGTGGGCGCACTGCTGGGCACAGGTGGGCGGAACTTGCGGGTGGCACTGCTGGGCACCGATCATCGGGGCACTGGTGATCAGTGACCCTGATGATCAGTGCCGATCCCCGCTCTGACAAACTGCCGGTTCTCGGCAGTACTTTCCTCACGATCTGACAGCGTGAGGAAAGTGCAGCCGAGAACCGGCACTTGCATTTCCCTCTGATCAGCGTGTCATTGGACACCGCTGATCACGTGGTAAAAGGCCGCTGTGATTGGCCTTTTACCACATCACGTGATCAGCTGTGTCCGCGATCACGGAGAGCGCGTTCTGGGAGGACGTTCATATGACATCCACTCAGAGCTGGCCGGCCGCAGTGCAGCCGTCATTCGGCTATCTGCGGTCGGCAGGTAGTTAAGGATAGATTTTCAGGCATCCCCACAGGTAATTCATGGCTTTCATGTCCTACAGTTTACTTTCCACATTCATGACATCTGGATTCTCAGTAATGGCAACCAAATCTCTGAAAGAGGTTCTGCAGCATCTCACTTCCTTCCCTAACTCCAGCCTTGTCTTTTTAGTGTTTATACAGCAGTACAGTTTCCTTCCCTGTTTCCTGGCATCAACCTATTCAGAGGTTCTGCAGCAGCTTCATCCCTTTTCTGTTTCCAAGAGGTTCTGCAGCATCTGAGCCACTTCTAATAAAAGAAAAACTCAGGCAAAAAAACAAAAAAGAATAACCTATAAAAGATAAAATAAAAAAAAAAAAACTTTTTCCTCTTGCAATGTTCAGCGTCTAGCCAGAGAGATGCAGAGCAATACAAAGCAGCCTGCTGGTGCTGACAGGGGAGAGATCTGTATTGTTTACATACAGACCTCTCCCCTGTCAGTGTGCCTTAGCTGTTTCCGGGTGTCGGCGGGGAATCTCCTGCCAGGATTCAGTGATCGACAGTATATATACACGTGATTTTACACAGCCCTGCCACCCTGTAGCAGTATTTCTGCTATAAGGGCAGTCAGGAAGTGGTTAATAAAAGCTGGATCAGTTTGTGTCTGTTATACTGTTATATCTGCCTAGTGTACAGCTTTAAAAAGATTTACAACAGCAAGCCTTGCCATTTATAATAATAATTTTAAAAAAAGCTGCATCAACTTCATTTGTAAACAAAGCCATCCCAATACATTCTGCAGCAACTGAGCCCCCCTCTATCACTATCCCTTGTACTTTTAAAGAAGGGATTCACCGGCAAGGATATTGCTGCTACTAAGATTGCACCTAAATCAACCATTTATCAGATCATCAAGCACTTCAAGGTGAGAAGTTCAATTGTTGTGAAGAAGGCTTCAGGGTGCTCAAGAAAGTCCAGCAAGTGCCAGGACCATCTCATTAAGTTGATTCAGCTGTGGGATCGGGGCACCACTAGTGCATAGCTTGCTCAGGAATGGCAGCAGGCAGGTGTGAGTGCATCTGCATGTACAGTGAGAGAAGACATTTAGAGGATGGCTTGGTGTCAAAAAGGGCAGCAAAGAAGCCTCTCCAGGAAAAACATCAGGGACAGACTGATATTCTGCAAAAGGTACAGGAATTGGGCTGCTGAGGACTGGGGGAAAGTAATTTTCTCTGATGAATCCCCTTTCTGATTGTTTGGGGCATCCCGGAAAACCCTTGTCTGGAGAAGAAAAGGTGAGCGCTACCATGAGTCCTGTCTCATGTCAACAGTAAAGCATCCTGAGACCATTCACATGTGGGGTTGCTTTTCAGCCAAGGGATTAGGCTCACTCACAATTTTGCCTAAGAACACAGCCATGAATAAAGATGGTCCAAAAACAACCTCCAAGAGCAACTTCTCCCAACCATCCAAGAACAGTTTGGTGATGAACAATGGCTTTTCCACCATGATGGAGCACCTTGCCATAAGGCAAAAGTAATAAATACAGTTGTGTTCAAAATAATTGCAGTCAGACCTCACTAACCTGATCAATCACTGCTTTTGGTAGAAATTATATTTCTACATGGCAAATAATTTACTAGCAGGTGTAGTAGAGTAATAGATATCCAACAGACCCAACAGTCATGACATGCATGCTGCTGATTCTGTGTAATTGAATCATTAATTGAAAGGGGCATGTTCAAAATAATAGCAGTGTGGAGTTCTATTAGTGAGGTCATTCATTCTTTGAAAAACAGGTGGAAATTATTGCCCTTATTTAAGGAAGGAAGGCATCAAATAATGTACATGCTGGTTACAGTGCATTTCTCTCTGAAATTCTTAGGAAAATGGGTCGTTCCAGACATTGTTCAGAAGAACAGCGTACCTTGATTAAAAAGTTGATTGGAGAGGAGAAAACATATAAAGAAGTGCAGAAAATGATAGGCTGCTCAGCTAAAATGATCGCAAATGCTTTAAAATGGCAACCAAAACCTGAAAGACGTGGAAGAAAGCGAAAAAACTATCATTCGAATGGATAGAAGAATAGCCAAAATGTATTACATTTTCCAGTACACAAATATAACAACCCAATATACTACACATTCACCCCTTCAAACCACTCCTGTACAGGTCTAATTGACTAATTTCTTACTCCTCTTATATTTATCTATCATTATCTATGTCCCTTTCCCTCTCACACCCACTTTCACTTTCAGGTTCTCCGTCATGCTCTCTCCGGGCTTTTTGCCCCTGAACTCCCAACCAGTTCCAAGAATCTCTTAGATGTTTTACATTTTAACCGGCAACCCCACATTCTCCTAAGTTCTTCCATTTTATCTTACTCCGAATGACACAGCTCCTCCATCCTAATAATGTTATCCACTCTATTTAACCAATTATTTATTCTTGGTGGCTCCAGAGCTTGACAAAACCTGGGGATCAGGCCCTTGGCCGCACTGATTAAATGGTATAATACCAGCTTTTACACTGTTTGCCTACAAGCTCAGAGTAAAATAAACACGTCCATGGGTCCATTTGTATAGTAATCATACTAATTTCCTGGATACCTTGAATTATTTTCTTCCACAAATCCTGTAATTTCGGGCAATCCCACCATATGTGTGTGTCATTCTACCCTTTTTCCCACAACCTCTCCAACATAAAGGTGAAACAGCAGCTTGCTGTCTATGTGCCACACTCGGTGTAATATACCATCTTGTCAAGCATTTATAGTTCATTTCTACTGTGCTCATATAAAAAAATTACCCTTTAGTATCGCTTTAACACTTTCTCTGCCATACACAGTGTACAGGCCGGGAACCTCTGAGTGCAGATCTGCTCCCACTATGGAAGACAGACCGCCAGAGGAGATATTCTGATAGCACTCCCTCACTACAAGATGATGTCCCACCTGTCATAGGTACATGCTTAACAACAGACTGCTTACTGGATCTCCATTACCCTTGGTAACCACTTGCTGTGTGCCAGTTACTTGCATTGCACCTCTTTAGTAACTTCAGACCAGGCAAAAAGCAAGGTTTAAAGACTTTACTGAAAATTTCTGAACATAATCAAGTTCAAAGTACAATACAGTTCTTTCCATACATCCCTAGTCTCTATCTCAGGCTTGTGTATTGCCCCAGAGTACCTGCATAGGTAGAGTCCTTTCGTGGCACAGTCCATGATTAGCAGAATCCAACAGTTGGTGTCTTCATGGTGGACTAGCAGTCCCTCTAAATAGTGGAAGGCGTTGAAAGGTAAGCGCCCTTGGACTCCGGCATCGGAAGTGACATCCAGCTCACGGCTGGGAACTGTGGAATCTGGATCTTTCGTAACGCAGGATTCAGATACCCCAACGACTACCATTCCTCTTACTCCCTTCCACCTCTTACTCTGAATGACTGTCCCTTTCTATAGATACAGGACCAGTGGGTCAGACCCAGGAAAGCCAGCCAAAGAAAACACAGAAAATACCATTAACCTGGAGCAACACCTATCTAGGCTACCATAAGCAACCTGCTAATCAGCAGATCACGATAGCGCTGTGGGAAGTATTCCCCATCAACACTGACTATGTAGATGGGGCAATCAAGTGATTTTCTTTCTTTCCACCCATGATAGAAGGAAAACAAATTGTATAATCTATGGCTTGCTTTAGGAGATCCCTTCTTTTGATTGTTTAACATTCAGTAACTGTTTAAGCAGTTGGCTTTATTTTACTGTAGTAAGTGAGTGTGGTCATTTATTCAGTAAAAGATGAATTTTGGTCCATATAGGTTACAACATTCCTTTTTTCACCTTACCTTAATGAAAAAACAATTTGAATGTTGTAAAGTAAAAGGGAAATGTAGAATTCCCAACCCTTTTTTGTACAATTACCCTAAACTTGATTGTTTGTTTAATCAGACTTTATTGTGTATGGCCAACTTTACTGCATGACTAAATGCCTAGCAAGGTAAACATTCAATCATGAATCCTTGTAATATGTATCTAGCTGTACAGGCTACTTTGAGCTAAGGTTTTCCAGTATATTCAACAGTCTTACTTGCAATCTCATACAATTGTTAAGGATATATCCAATCTTATGTAAGCCCACACACATTATTAGTTCTAAACCTAATCGATTGTACAATTTCTGAGCTACCATCTGCAGGGAGAAATGAGTACCATTTCTCCTCACTATAGGTGATGTATTAATGGAAACATTTGTAAGAGTGTAGGTCCACTTTTAGCACAACAGTCTCATTGGGCTGTTCGTTCCAGCAATTAGAAAGCTGAATGAAAGGGGAAAAATTCTATGTCTTTCTTTTAACTACTGACTGTCTTGTTTTATGACAAGTGTCCAGGTCTCTAGGTTGATGAGAAAAAAAACAGTACGAATGTATTGAAAAAATGTACAAATAGTCCTTTATTGTTCCTTTTCCTCTTACCCTGTTGCCCATGCTGCTGGCACTCCTGTTGTACTGTAACGAACCTCTGGCTGAGGTGTACCATTTGAGGAATCTAAAGGTCCCAGGTCCTAGAAATCTGGAAACTATAGTTCTGTCAGCCAATATTCTTCCCATTCCAGGTATGTATCTGTACCATCTAAAAAATGAATATCAAATTTTGCAAGCATTTTTATGTTAATGGTAGCCAAATGAAAATATTGATCAGTGCACTTTTAGTGGCTGAGAAAAATGTTTATATTGGCATATTGTGGCAGTCTAGCACTGTGTGTTTGCTTCAGCCTGCGACTCTTTCCCAATATCCCCAGTCTTTGCTTGTTCCTCAACCATCCCTGAAAAATACGTGTTCTGACCTGCGGGGCGTAGCTAAGGGGGAGATAGAGAGGTCCAATGCACCACAACTGCATCAATCGCACTGCAACTTTCTCTGACAGTTGCTGCACACCGAAGAACTGCAGCCTGTCAGAACTTGGA